GTAATCCAATCATAGAGACCTGTTTCCCACCTTCAAGTAATCCTCTTTCTGTTCCCTCCTTAATTCCCAGTGTATAAAAAAACCTGCAAAACTGTCATTCTCAGGAGCATCTGAGATCTTGCTTCCAGGTATGTCCATCAGTTTGGCTGAAAGAAACTTAGGCACATCGACCCTCACCAACTTTCTTACACATATTTCCTGCATTAGTGGGGTTCAACCCTGGATAGACTTTATAAAGGGGGTCCCTCTAGGAGCATTTAAAAACTATTCATATCTGGGCCCCACCCTCTGAAATTCTGATTCAACTGGCGAAGGATCGTGCAGAGGTTTAAAAAGAATTTATTTATTTTTTTTAAAGTTCCCAGGTGGTTTCAAGGTGTGGTCTGAGTTTTGAAGCACTCTACTGTTGCTGGCCAAATGAGGCTCCTCCATGACACCCAAGTTCTCTCAGCACAGCTTCTAGGCCAGCGGTTCTCAACCTGTGGGTCGCGACCCCTTTGGGGGTCGAACGACCCTTTCACAGGGGTTGCCGGGTACTCGTATGTGGGCGTATCTGCATGTGGGCCTGGAGACTGATAGAGGAGCGGGGTCTCGGTTCCTAAGACCATCGAAAATATGTTTTCCGATGGTCTTAGGCGACCCCTGTGAAAGGTTGAGAACGGCTGTTCTAGGCAGACATGGTCCAAGCAGAAGCCAGCCAGCCATTTTATCCATTATATGGGGACTGGACAGGTGGCTCAGCGCAAGAAAGGTGAGCTGGAGCTGGCTCTTACTGGCTCACAGATTGTTACGTATTTAGTAGTGTTGCAGCCCAACACTGGTAGCTGGCAGTCAGCTATGGTGCGAGTATTTACACCTTGGTAATTGGCAGATGCTATAACCATAGCTGTCTTGTTTTTTTTTTCTCAGGTTTATCAGCACACCACAGGCTCAGGAAACATTTGCTCTCCTTTCAGGCCTGCAGACTTGCAGCGGTTCTCAACCTGTGGGTCGCGACCCCTTTGGGGGTCGAACGACCCTTTCACAGGGGTCGCCTAAGACCCTCGGAAAGCAAAAAGATATTTACATGACGATTCATGACAGTAGCAAAATGACAGTTATAGAGTAGCAACGAAAATAATTTTATGGTTGGGGGTCACCACAACACGAGGAACCGTATTAAGGGGTCGCGGCATTAGGAAGGTTGAGAACCGCTGCCCCAGAGGCTTCCATGTTCAAGAATGGAGCCGAGTTCTCCTCAGTTGCCTGCCTGACGAGGGGAAGGGAGAAGACGGAAAAAGGGGAGAGGACGACATGTAAGAATTTGGAACCACAAAATCCTTTCACGAAAGTATGCTTTTCAATTTGTTCAGAGGACTTGGGCTAACAGGCTTCAGCAGAGTCCCCGGGGACTAGCTTTTATAGAGCAGATAAGAATAATCTCATTAGTATGTCATTTCTTAGGCTTTAAAGTGGGAGGTGGAACCCTTATCTTCCATTTACTTAACAGCCTTCCCATGATCTGAATCGTATTCTAGTGACCTCATCTGCCCAGAATACCCTCCTTTCAGGGTGCAAGGACAAACCTCAGAGCAGACGCCTGAGTTATCCCAACTTCAAAATCCACAACCTTCCAAATACATCAACCTTTAACCTGCAGGCAGGGTGAAGGAGGCACTGACCCCCTGGGGGGGGGAAGTGCAAACTGGCTGCCTTCCATTCAGGCTGCAAAGCTTTCATGGGTTTTAAAGATTGCCTCACCTTCCTAGTAAGAGCTTTTCTGTCATTGTGTTAAGGGAAGCAGGCACTCAGCTATTTTCATGCCTGTGTCTTAATGCCACCCAAGCGCATGACGGATTGCTGTTTGTTTCTTTAATTCAGCACCCTGAGTGATGGGAGATGGGCGTGCTCTGGGCTCAGGCAGATTCGGGTTCGAGTCCCAACTCAAGCATTTACTGAATGAACTACTATGTGGGAAGAGCGACTTAAATTCTTAGTTTTTGCGAGCCGTTTAGGTGTGCACACGGGCCCTCATACATAAGCCCCCAAATCTCAATTTAAATCAGCTGAGCTCGGTCCACCATCCTCTCCTTCAAATCTGCAGGCACTGGCTGGTGGCTTGGGAAGGTGTGTGTTCACCTGGGGGACGGATGGGAGGCTGTGTGCGCTCAACCTTCCTAATGCCGCGACCCCTTAATACAGTAGGGGATTTTACCCTTCCCTCCCTGACACACACCACACATGCCTTTTCTTTCCGAAACACCTTCTACAGCCTCTGCCTTCTTCTAAAGGCGCAACACTGCCACCCTCTCCAGCAGCCACTGGTCCTGCGTATCAGGTGCTCTTATGTAACACAGGGACACCCTCGGGGCAGCAGGGGCAGGCTCCCGGCAATGCCCCAAAGGAGCTGCTGGACTGTTCCCTGGGTGAGTGGGGGCTTGGTGAATTATTTTTCTGTCACTCCCTCCAGAGGGCGATGGCAGAATGCAGGGTGTCTGTTGTGCGAAGAGCCGGGAGCCAGGAGATCCAGCTCTGGAGACCCAGTGTAAACGGTGGACAGCCCGGGAGCAAAGCTGGCCATGTGCACTCTGTGAAGTCTCTTTAGCTGCTCGGTGACCTTTCCCAATCCTTGTTGTCAGGCAGTGACCTGGGGACAAAGAACTCCTAGTGGCCATCTCCAGGGCCCGAGGAAATAAAATATCCCAGGGGCCCAACTCCAATTCTCAGAAGAAAGATAGCAACACAACCCAATTCAGGTGTCGAATTGGAAAACAGCAAGGCTACGGGGAACCCACATGGCTGGCCCGAGGCCCACTTGCTCAACAGCAGCTTCTACTCCGTCAAAACAAGGCTGGAACCTCCAACCAGGAGCCAGAGAGGTTTGCCCGGAGCTCGGGCGGTCAGCAGGGGCTGACCTCCGTGGCTCTCCAGTTCCCTGGAGAAACTGGTGGAAGGCAGGCGGCCTCCTCCCCAGGAAGACAGGGAGCACACACACGTTTCTCACATTTAACTGGCTAGGCTCCTCGGATTTAAACCCCACTGCCATTAGCATAGCTTATTATCTAGAAACCAGTATTAGAATAAGAAAGAACTCTGCTCAAGCATCCTGCAGGAAAACCATGCCAGGCCACAAGTTCACAAACAACAGCAAAAGAGAAAATCCAGCCTTACTCCCCCCTACCTCCCTGCCCCGAGATAAGGGGGAGCACATTACCAGACCATGAGCCTAGCTAAGAAAACTTATCAGCAGCCTGTCCAGCCCACTTTCTGGGTCCTTCCGGAAACCCCCCGAGTCTGGGCTGCCATCAGCTACTAGACCTTGGGCAGATCAAAGCATTGGTGGAAGCGACAATAAAAAAATGAAACTATCAAATGACAAACTGGAACCCGTGAGGCCGTTTACAGAAAGAGGATCTTCCATCATGGTTTCTGTGCCAGGGGAACAAAAGGAAACCTGTGTGGCACCTCTCCCTGCCCAGGCCTTTCATACCTGAAATTAACTAATGGTATGAGGACCCCCTAATTGTTTTTATAATAAAAGGACATTGAAGTGTGGTGCCTAAGTCTTGGACCAATAGGGAAAAAAAGCAGGAAAAAAAAAAAAGCTCACAGAAGCTTCTCAGGCCCAGCAGATCTGAGCTGGTCCTTGTTCATTTAGTAAACAAGTGAGCCATAAAACAAACCCCCAGGAAGCCAGGTTTGTGCACTTTCTGAGTCATTCTCCCAGAACTAACTGTTCCCTCTAGGTTCAGCGTGCCCCTGGCAGTCCACACATAGATGAGCATCGGGCCTGTGCAACATGGAGCCCGAATTCTATCTGTGCGCCCTTATCGACTCCCCATCCGCCCACTTGCAGCAAGAAAAGGGGGGTAGATCTGGGCATGCTGTCTCCTTCCAAAGCCCCCATGGTGAGGGGCGTGGCCTGGGAGACTGTCCTGAGCAGGGGCCAGATGGTTCTCCAGGCTCCCCGGGGTATTCCTGGAGTCTGTCTCCAGTTCAGGATAGCCAGGTGGGGGCTAGACAGTTTTATGTGATGACCACAGCAATGTAGGGCAGCAGAATGCTCCCTAGCCCCGTAAAGTGCAGCCGCTGTCCATCCAAGGGTGGCAAAATGCTTTCCAAACCACCCATTAATTTTTATGGTGGCCTGAGAAGCAGATTGAGAATCATTACCTTCATTTTAACAAGGCAAGGAACCAAAACCACAGGGGAGGGTGGAGAGGCACCAGGCCAATCCTGTCCGAGCCAGTGTGCCAAGCTGACCACTCTTGTCTCTCTCCATCTCAGGCCTACATACAGAAAGCATGGGGAACCCCACCCACAGGAAAGGGGGCTGGCGGCCTGCTGAGAAGGCAGCCCGGTCCATAAACCCAAACTTGGGTGCTCAGAGGCAATCACATTTGGAAGGGTGGGAAGAGTTGCATGAAGGGATTACTTTTGATTTAAGCTAGATAGGCTCCAGTTGTCACATACTGATTAAAGCTGCAGGAGTGCGACCCCAAGGGAGATTAATCAATATTAACGGCAGGTGGGAACTGTGGGATCAGGGATGGTGTCTGTTTTACTGTTTATATTTCTCTTCATTTCCCCGTTTTCTACCCAGAGCATACTCTGTTTCTGTGATCAGAACAAAAGTTATGCTAACTTATTACTACTGATAAGTACACAGTACCAAGCTGCGGCACTAACTTGAAAAGAATAAGCAGGAATAAAAGCCTGCCCAGCGTTCGCTTTTTAAATCTCATCGATTCATGAGGCTCCCCAACCCTCTCCGCATGTAGAGCGCCCGGCCGCCCTCCTCCCGGTCCTCCCGGGCGGCTCACCACCCCTGGGAAGGGCCAGCACAGGCCTGGGCCCCCAGGCTGCAGGGCCAGCCCCGGGCTAGGAGCTGCGGGACTCTAAGGCTGGGCTCTTACAGACCACGAATCCGCTCGGCGGCGCGGGCTTCCCCGGGAAACATCACTTAGAGAACAACGTGCCTCTCCCAGCTGTCCCCACCCGCCGACCGCCGGCGCTGTCACCTCGCGGCTGCTGGGTCCCCGGACGGACGGCCAAGCCAGAAACCTGGGCTTTCATTTCCATCTTAAAACGAGGGATCTCCGAAGTTGAAATATGCATTGTCACCAAGTTTAACCCGGGACCGCGCGAGGGGGCGCCCCGGCCCCTGCAAGCCCTCGGAGCGCCCCACGGCCGCGCCAACCGAGCGCTCCCCTCTGCGTCTTCGTGCCCAGTCGCCTAGGAGGACCTCCTCGCAGGGGCGCTCCGGGAAGCGCCGGAGCCGGGAGAGTAGCTGCCGAAAGCACGCGGGGGCTCCAAGAGCGGCTCAGAGCCCGGAATCCCGGCCCGCCCTCCTGCACGGGGTGACCAGGGCGCCCGGAGAAACGGCCAGGGGCGCGCGAGGCTTCCCAAAGCCGCCCGGCACCCCGGACCCAGAGCTCAGGCGGCGCTGGAACGCTCGGCGGCCGCGAGGTGCACACACCCGCCGAGCCCGAGCGCGAGCCGGCGCCGCGGGAACAAGGCGGGTCGTGAGGCGGGAGCTCCCGCAGGGGCCGGCCCGGCGCACCGCCTGCCTACCTGGCTCGCATGGCGTCCCGCCGGCTCCTGCGGCGCTCCTCG